ATTTGCACTTAGCCATAACCACATACCCGTTAGTTTCATTTCTGAGCAAGTGTCCAGCTTTCTCTGATGACAGGCAGCTTTAGCTTCACAATTTGAGGTAAGCATCCTGCCCACCTCTCTCTGTCTTACCGCAAAGGGCACATTTGCTTCAGTGGTGAGCACAGGAAGAACATAATGTGCCAGGAGGGTAGAGGCCATTTGTTTCATCTTGGTGGTTAATCTCAAGTAATAGGGGAGAGTTATAGTTTGTTTGTTGGTGGTTTTCCTCAAGTGGCCTGCACTCAGGCTGTCCACAAAGCACAGCACCTTGAACAGATAATTATGTCCCGCAATGCTTTATGCTACTTGATGAGCTGGATTGTACAGCTCCTGTTCTCTGAGGAACAAAGGAGAGGGAATGGGGAAAGAGATTGGGAGGGTGGGACTGGGGAGAGAGGAGAGATGGAGCTACAATCAGGATGTAAAGTGAATAAATAAAGTAAGTAAAAAGAGAAGAAAGTGGCAATAGGGGGGACCATGAAGTCACTAGCCTTGGGAAATGAGCTGGCTATGCTTCCAGTACCAGGCATGATTTCCCTCCTCTTGAGTAAGTCTTACATCTAATTATATAGCTGTTATCTGCTGCCAAGATATGAGTGTCACTGTTGGGCCCTTAGGTTATTGTTGTGGTTCATATTTAAGGGAACTTTGAGGAAGAGAGGGCAGAAAGACTGTAACAGCTAGAGGACCAGCAAAGCTGCTCTGATATTGTATCCCCTAGAAATGACAGGTCGCTTCCATCTTGACATCTCAGCAATATGGCTGCCTATATTGCATTTAACAGCAATGCAAAGGGGAAATTTCATGGTGCCCTGTGATTGACGAAGAACTACAGGAACCAAAGGAATGATGAAACAGGAGGAAAATAATCTTCCTTAGGAACGAGTCCTCTAATTGACTATTCAGTACCAAGTAGTCAGTCCTAAAATCAGATACAAGTAGCACTAAAGAAAATGATCTAGTTGTAGTTATATATTTATTCATATATATAATATTAGATAGATATTAGATGATATGTGGATAGAAAGATACATAGATGATATATAGGTAACACTTGAAGAATAACAATTAAAGAAACAAAGGTAACAAAGAAAAAACATGAATTTAAGAGGAAGTAGGGGAAACCTGGGGACATGGGAGGGGTTGAAGTAAAGGAAGAGAAAGAGGTAACAAAGTAATTATATTTTTACTTAAGTTTAAAATAAAATGTCTTTTAAACATTACATTTTAAAATTTCTAAAATTAAAAAAAACGTGTGTTTTTCCTGTATGTATATGTGTATGTGCCTCATAGAGTTTCCTGATGTGTGCAGAGGCCAGAAGAGGTTGACAGTTTCTTAGGACTGGAGTTATGGGCTTCACAATATGGGCGCTGAGAATTAATCCAAAGTTCTTTGCAAAGTACTCTCAATTGCAGAGCCCTCTCTGCAGCACAACAAAACAGCAAACAATAAAAATGATGTCACCAAATTCTGTTTCTTCAGTTGTGGCCTCCTGGCTCTTGGCCATGTGCTTAATACATATTTAAGATTTTCCTACAACAAAACCCAGAGTGGTAACTAAAACTGAACCAACTATCTAAGGCATGCTAGGAATACTTGACAGCTTTATGCATATACAGAAGCCCTGTGCGTTTTTATTTTGTTATTTGTGATGTTTCCCATACTACACAGGTGTGCTACGTATTCCCTCGCAAATGTTTTGCCATTATTCCATTATTATTAATTGCACACTTAACGAAATGGTTGTTTCCGTCAACCATTCATCTTTAAGAATACAATAACGTTTGTAAATTAATGGTACACTGTTATGCTACCACTAGTCCTACAATAGTGACCTATTATATAGTAACCTATTAGCTTGTTTTTATTTCCTATGCACATAAACATATCATCAACCCTTATGAGGCTATTACTATGTATTCATTTTCTATTTTCATATGTATGCATATAGCATATATGTGTGCATGTGTGTGTTTGGTCAAGAAAAATAGCTCCCATGGTTCCCACCTACACAGTGCAACAGATTTTATTCCATTCAAATGAGCCAAAGCTTATGCACCTAGTGAGTAAAGCATTGAATATTTTTTTTTATTTAACTTCAAACAGAGATTGAAAACTATGTTTTATATATTTTCACTTTTGATTCCCAGCTTATATAACTCTACCATTTATTTTTTTTCAAAACTCCGTGCTATTTCATAGCATTAAAATCATTTCAAGTCCTAAAATTTTCCTAGGACGTGATATTTATTCACAAACCTCATTAACCAAATAAGGCAAATTGTGTGCGCACAGAAAATGCAGAAGTGCTGTGGCTGTGAGGTGTGTCTTCACAGGAAGACGAGACTAACCTCTACCAAATCAGTCTCAGAGACAGAAGTCACCTAGACACCCCTATTTTCAGTTCCAAATCTTTGCTGGGGACAAGGCCACCTTTTCTAGTTGAGTACAAGGCTTTGATTCACAAGAAACAGGACTCTCTGCTCTGCTCAGGTCTGTGAGTGTACGTGCTTATGCACGTGTTTCTAATAAATGTTTTCTACAAAATGAGAGTTGAATGTCAAGTTAAAAGAGTTCTATAACTGTTTACACTGTTGGATAATTCTAGCTTACATGTTTGAGTAGAGCTGCTGAAGGCAAAGAGTGCTTCTCTTGTCTTAGGTTTAAGTATATTCTGTATCACTATATCTGGTGTCCATAATCAAGACACGCATATTGAAGAGTAAGAATTTGTGTTGCTGAGATAATAAGCCTTCTATCTAAAGCAAGATATGTTTGGGGGGTTAAAAGGCTAAAGTTTGAATAAGAATTTCTCACACAAATGAACTAATCTTATGGAAGGTGGTTTTATTTCTGCTTCTGAAATAGCACAACTGCACATTCATGAAGAGACAAGTTATATTCATTTATCAACTTATCAAATCAAATGTGGAAAGTGCTCACTTTAAAGTCCAAGTGCTATTTATTAAACAGCTATGCTCTGTGAGCACTGTCAGATGATGTAAAATGTTACAATATAAACATATATGAAGTTGTTGATGGTAACATTTTATTGATGGTGATAGAAGTTTTACTAAAAGATAATAAGAAAATGTGCAACAGAAACTCGTGTATCTGACATGAGTTTATCTTACAAAAAAAATTGCTCAACACCAAATAAAAACCATAAACAGAAAATATATGTGCTGATGTTCAATGTCAGGAGGCCAAATATTTTTCTATTAAATATCTCAATGTAAGTGAATTAAAAATACTTTTTGTATTTTTACGATATTTTGAAACAGTGGTTTTTTTATTTTCCAATAAAATGTTAGTTGATTTTCCATTGTCTTGTGTGAGCTGTTATTTCCATTATTTCATATTTAATGAAATTTTTTTCTATATTTTACTTGTCTAATACAAGTATTTAATCTCACCACAAAGATATCAGAAAAAATCTTTAGACTCTGCCTTGCTTATTCAAGAGTCCTTTGTGCATCACAGAAGTTAGACCAGAGCCAAGAGTGGCAGCACATGTCTTCAATCCCAGCACGCAGGAGGCAGAGGAAGGTCACCTCTTGTAAATCTGATGCAAGCCTGGTCTATATAGTAAGTTCTAGGCCAGCCAAGGCTGCATAGAAACAGAGTGTATCAAAAAAAAATAATAAGTTAATTAATTAAATAACAAAAGCCAGAACGGATCTATTTCTGAAGTGAACGTGTCATAATCATCACACGATGGCATTGATTCGTGATCGAAAGTTTCAGCACAGCCCAGGTATGTAGTGCGCATGTGAATCTATGAGCCTGTTTTGTGATGCTAATATATCCAACATCCATGCAAAGCAGTGTAAGGCACAGGAAGCCTCTTACTGCTTTTCCTATTATGTGCATTTCATGTTATGCTTATATTGTATTTAAATTGTAGTTTTTGAGGATGTGCAAAGATATTTTCCTTTTACCACCTACCTACTGTAAAGTCATTTATAACATAGGAGAGCTTGAAATAATGACAGGGAAGGAGGACTTGGAGTCAGAGGAACTGGGTTCTAATCAAATATTTCCAGCTTTAAATTGGGGCAGTCCATGGTCTCTATACATTTTCATTTCTTTTCGTACCAATAGAAAAATAAAACATGCTGGATTTTCCTTAGTGGAATTCTAGACTCTGAAACTCATGGAATATAGAATTTGAAAGTGCTTCTTATTCTAAAAAATGTTATGAATTTCTCATACTTGTTAACATCATATTAAATGGTGAATATTTTTTGAAATTCAAATTTTTCACCCAATATAATAACTAGTACTCTTTTCTTCAGGTCTAGTATTTGAACTATATGCAAGAAATATTTAAGGGTGATATTTAAGCCTAAAATAAAGTAGATAATGTCTTTTCATTTACAAAATGATTCAATTAATTATGGAAATTTAAAGAAAAGAACAATATGGTTTTGTTTGACTTGCTTTGTTCAAACTCAATACTGTCATATTTATTCTGAGATTTGGAGTCTACTATTTATGTCTTTATGTGTCTCTAACTTTCATGCAATTTGGTAAACTACTATTTATTGTGTGTGCAATTGGAATTATTAATACCAAGTTCATCACATTTCATTTAATTGTTATGATGTCCCTAGGATTTTGTAATGATATGTTTTCTCTTCCACACTGTAAGGAGCTGGATGAAGATTTACTTCTGCTTACCAATATTACATTCTGAGTGTATGGTGTAATTAATTATATATCTGTCTTCCTCGGCTATTTTCTTCCATTACATAAAGCTCGCTTCAATGTTAGATTTCATTTTACACTATGACCTGGTTTATTTCACAAATCCATATCATTTTTTCCTAACTCTAATTCTCCAAAGGATGGGCATGGTTATGTTTGTTAAGAAGTGTAAGCATCTTAAAAATGAGATGACAAAAGCAATGGAAACTCATGCTGCCTCTTAAAAGGACTTTCATGAGAAGCATATCCATAGAAACACAAGTTGGAAGATAGAAATGTCTTGATCAAATGACACAAAGTCCATGGACTTGTATTAGCTTGAGTTGTTTTCTCCAGAGATGAGCAAATGCCATAATTACAACCTCAAGCCAGCAAAGCAGTATGCTTCTCCAGGACAGCAGAAGCAAAGATCTGCACTAATCACCAGCCAGTCCAGAGAAAATGGTAAGTCTTGGGTTACATTTGTGTCCTCATGGTGAAGTGAGGTGAGGGTGGAAGCCGTGTTGCTGTCAGTGACAACCTTGTTCCTCTTACCTCTCCAGGGAAGTAAGCTGTACTTTCTCTAAGATAATATTAGAACATACAATCAAATTATAGGTAATGATGTAATTTATAATAAGGGCAACTGAAGCAAGGATTTAGGGAATCTAACTTTAAGGAAGAATATATAGAAATAGACTATAGAAAAGAAATTTTAAAAATCATGCAGCTATCTTCTTAAACATGATAAAAGAAAAAATTGTAGCAATATTTAGTAACCTCTCTGAATGGAGTGGAGACAATCTGTACTCAAACCATTTTAAGCCTGGGTATTATCAGTATTAAAATTTGTGACAATTTTTTCAAAGGAGAAAACATGAGCCTGGTGAAAGACATTTTAATCATATTTTAAAAATATGAACCATAAAGGGAAGCTTGATGGAATCAGCCTGGGAAAAATAAGCCATTCTACCCATCAGAAGGATCATAAACAAAGTAGAAATAATATTTGAAACATGTACGCAAAATATAGGACAAGGTATGTTGTCATGCCTTGTCACCAACTCAGAAGTATAGAACAAGCCAGTTACTTGATAAAAACAAGAAAAGTCTCAGAAAAATAAAAAATTTATGACTTAAACATAAGTTTAAATTTATCATGAAAGGAAATAAAAAGATTAAAACAAAAATACTGCATACTAAGTTTATAAATTAAAACATGCAAATAATATTCATTAGTGAGGAAGATGCAACCAAGGAGGGAATTTCATTTATTTGTGCTCCTATAAAATTAGTGCAACTTTTGTGTACTGAAAGTTTCAGTTACTAGAAAATGTAACACGTGTGCCCTTTGTACTCTAGTTACCATAAGAGGAAGCTCCCTAAGGAACTCAAAAATGAGTATAAAACATATTATTATTATTTCTAATGCCCAAAATTAGCATACAATTAAAATGTGCACTGGAAAAATTAAAAGTCTGTTCATAGAATTTATGCAGGTATCAATGAAAACGAACATTAAGTATTTATTCAATTTGACCTCTTTCTATGTCAAAATATGACATACCCTAGAATAGTCTCCTAAAAAAAAGATGCAGAATACTTTACTGATATAGAAATGAATGTTATTAAAACATTGATTATCAAAGTATTCATATCTAATAACTCTTGTAAAAAAATTGAGGCGTGTAATTTATTTAGGGAGTGAAAAATAGCAGCAGTCTGTAAGCCCCCCCCCCCCTCCAACTCAGGGTCTGAGGCCACAGGACTGCAAATTTGTGTCGAGCCTGAGGCTACTTTTGAAACTTTGTGTAAAGGAAAAAAAAAAAAAAAAAAACAAGTTTAGAAAACTTGCATAGAAGCAATCATGGGAGTGGATACCACGCTTTTGTACTCTTAGATTTAAGTCACCTGTAGAGTCCTTACGCTGCTAGGGCTGAGAAAAAGCGCTTTGTCTACCTTCTCATAGAGATGCACGCCAGCGTTTATACTAGACAGAAAGCCACCTCAGCCGCCCGCTAGCCCTCCTTTTGCTCTGACCTTGCCTGTTTTTCTTTGACAGTGTCTCCATTGTTCGTTGTCCGAGTCATTGCTGTGGCCATGGCAATTCACTTCATTGTTGTCACAGTGATGTGGTTTGTTGTTTTCATAACTTGTAAGTGACAAGACAGAGAGTTAATGGAGCAGATGTACCTTGGTTAGACTTCAGAAGCACACGGGGAGGGGACCGGAGAGATGGCTCAGCCAGGGAAAGGCACTTGCTGCGAATGCCTGCAGCCTGAGTTTGATGCCCAGATAAGATGGAAGGAAGAACCGACTCCTCAGAGTTGCTCTCTGACCTCCACGCTCACTCCCTGGCACATAGGTGCCCTCATGTACGTACCTGCACGCACACATATGTAGACACACACACACACACACACACACACACACATTTTAAAAAATAAGAGAAAGTAGAGAAGCACAAAAACATACAGTAACAGTAGTGAAAGTGTTTTTAACCCTAGCTTCACCAGTCCACAAGCATGCAAGTTACTTTTGTTTACAGTATGTTACCAAGTTTTAACGATTATAATTATTTTTATAGTGTTATGCAACAATGAAGTTCCAGTTTCCTCGAGAGGTGAGTGAATCTTTTTAATATTAAACACATATTGCAGAAAGGTATGCCAGGATTCAATATATATTCAAATGCATTCCAAAGAGAAGAATGAAGTAGTTGGATTTTGTCTGTGGTTCACTGTAAACTTTATTGTTTTTAGCTGTGAAGGCCATGTAATGGGTGGAAGAACCAGTCGTGGTACTGCATTTGTTTAATTCCTGCACTTCACAGGTGGGGATAGGAAGATCAGGATTTTACAGTCAACCTTGGCTGTGTAGATAGTTCAAAGCTAAAATGAGTTTTATGAGTCCCTGTGTGGCAAAAATAAGTAAATATATATGATAATTTTTGGTTAATCTTATTACATTTTACTTTGTCATATTTGGTTGTAATCTCTTCGAAGTCTTCTTTTCTGAGAAACAGAAAGATGGGGTGAAACTAAGAGGAGTAGGGGAAGGGGAAACTGTTAATCATACTGCATTGTATGAGAACAGAATCTATGTTCAATAAAAGAAAAGTAGGAAAGAAGAAGGGAGGGAAGAAGGAAGGAAACAACAAAGGAAGGAAGAAAAGGTAGAAAATCCTTAGTTTAGGGCCTTTGTTCTCTTTATATTATAATCATTCAATTATCTAGAATTTCAGAGTTGAGACAAGAAAGGTATTGAATTTGACTAGATAAAATCTGCTTCAATAGTCGGGTATGCATAGAATTAATCTATTCTCTTTCTAGAAGGTTACTGTGGCCCATGCCCTGACAACTGGATATGTCATAGAAACAACTGTTACCAATTTTTTAATGACAACAAAACCTGGAACGAGAGCCAAGCTTCATGTCTGTCTCAAAATTCCAGCCTTCTGAAGATATACAGTAAAGAGGAGCAGGTTGAGCATTTAATTCCATTTGATTCTAAAACAGGAGGAAAGTCACTGGAGCATGAACTTGGAACATACAACAGCCACCAAGGTGTTCTGATACCCACCTAAGACAGCAGTGATAAAAATTAAGAAAGTAGGAGCTAGAGACATAAAGTGACATAAAGTGCCTGCTCTGAAAACATGAGGACCTGAACATGAACTTCACAGCACCCATTAGGTATTGCTGCACATGCCTATAACTCCAGTACTGGGGTCAAAGACAGGTAGATCAAAAAAGCTCCTGGCCAGGCAGCTTAACTGAAAAGGTGAGATCTTGCTTCAGCGAGACACCATGTTTCAAGATCATAAGGCAGGGAACGAGGAAGGAAGATACATGCTGTCTTCTTGTCCTAGCTTCTGTGCGCAGGATGAGCAGCTGCACACAGCTGCACACTCACACCTACACGCAGCATGCAGCTGCTGACCACTGCCAAAGACAGAAAATGTTAGAGAACAAAAACACATGAACACCTGTAGTTCAATAAGGACTGCCGTGGCCACTGGACAATGCCTCCTTCCCCAAGTGGAAAGTGAGTGGCTTTGGGTTTCTAACATTCTATGCATGTGTTTCATCTGTTTTTTTTTTGTTTTGTTTTGTTTTGTTTTGTTTTTTGCGGTTTTCTAACAGGAATTCTTAAAGCTGGTGAAGTCGTATCACTGGATTGGACTAGTCCATACTGAAGCAAATGGCTCCTGGCAGTGGGAAGATGGCTCCTCTCTCTCATCCAACCAGTGAGTCTCAGTCCAGCAGGTCTCAAGCTGGGAGTTTGATCAGCTGTCCCTAAGGGCACTCATTTTTCAGTTTCTTTTTCACAATCTGACATATTACCATATTCTAATGGAGTTAGAAAAAAAATCATTTTGACTCTAAATCTAAAGGGCAGGGAGGGTGGCACAGTAGCCAACATGAGCAACATTAACAAGTGACATAAACCACCACATGCTAAGAACTGAGGCAGATCGATCCAATAGTACGTCGGTTTTAGAGATGCAAGGCTGAAGCACCAGATATTTTCTTTTGTATATCGGTGACTAGAGTTATGGAGGAAAAACCAACATACAATAAGCCATAACCTTCAACCTTAGAACCCTCTTATCTCGTTTGGGGTCACAGGTGCTTTCAAATACGAAGTAGCTTACCACTAGCTGTAGTCACTCTATTGTCCAGTGGCACAAAGAGAAATAACAAAGACATGAGGTCACAGAGATGCTAAATACCTTTGCTTGATCAATACACAGCATTTACCCGTATCACATCCTGACGTGATGCCCCGAAACTATATACCATTGTAGTTTCAGTTAAAATGAATCCTCTAATGTGCTTGAACTGAGACCCAGAAAGAGCAGCTCCTAACCTAAATTTCCTTCCGAGTACCAGCTGTTTGTTTCTATCCCAATGCCATTCTGTACCTCATCCTTTTCAATGAGGATAACAGCAGATCAGTGTTCTTTTAGTTTTTAAATTTTACCCTGAGGTGACATTATCACTTTCTTGAGTCGTCTATTTCTGACTTTTTCTTAGAAGGAAGAAAAAAAAACAAAAAACTTCATTTGTTAAATTGCTCATGGAATTCCAAATGTCAAGACAGAAGTAAAACACACACACTGACATGCATACACACACGTGTGCACACACACACCACACCACATTACCACACACACACATCACATACATCACTCATGCACACACATGCATGCGCACATACCACACGTGCTTTCATGTGTGTTGGTACTATGTTCTTTTAACGTGTATACACCTTACCCTTTGTTCATTCAAATGCTGATTTCTCTCCCCCACTCTCCGGTTTCAATCCAGACATTGCATTGTGATACTCATTCTAAGCATCACCAGTCTCAAGTTTGTGTAAACATGTCAAAATAAAACAACCAGCCACAATGTTGAGCAATGGAGAGGAAGGAGTAGGAGGGAGAAGGGAGGAGCCAGAGGACAGGAAGGAGTGGGAGGAGAGAAGGAGGCAGAAGCTGGGGGAGCAGAGGCTGGAGAAGTCTTGGAACAACGTGGAGAAATGAACCAGACCCAAGATAGCACTAAAAGCAAGTGTAATGTGGGAAATCTAAATGGTAGGAAACTATGCGGGCTTTGAGGTTTACGGTGGAGTAACTATTGCCCAGCATTGTGTTCTAGGTTAACTAAATAAATCCGAGTCTCTGTGTGGGGATTTGGGTATACGTCTGTTTAGGAATAACTGCAGCTTTACTGAAAGATGTATCAATAGTAAATATTGATGCCAAATACAACACATGTGCATGGGTGTAGAGGGTTTTGCAATTACTTTTGTTTCTTTACCATGTAAAATTGTGTGTGCAGTCAGCTCTTGGTGTCCATGGGAGACTGGTTCCAAAGCTTTACTCTCCCCACAGATTCTGAATTCCAGGAATGGTCATCATCTTTATGCGGAATGCCATAGAATCTGCTTGTGAACCAGGGACAATTCTGCATAATTCAAATCACTTTCATACTGAGTATAATACCGTGTAGAATGTAAACATTAAGTAAACAGTTCTCACAATGCATTATTTAGGAAACCAGGACAAGATACAAGGCATGTGCTCAGTACAGATGTGGGCTCTGTTTTGAATATTTGTTGTCTGTAGCCAGTTTTATCTGACAATGGTAAACTGTCTGCCTATGGAGGATTCCTTATTTTTACACAAAACACTACAGCACTTGAATTCTAAGCTTAATTTTACATTCATTTTTAATGTAAGTACTTATTACTAAGTAAACATTTGAAGCTTTTTTTTTAAATCAGATACATAGAGATATTTGAATTCTGCGGTGATTAATTTCTGACATGAGCACATCAAGAATGACATTTTTCCTTTTATTATCTGAATTGGCTCTGTTTTGCTAAACAGTACTAAAGTCACCTGAAATATATTTGAAATTCCCACATTCAAATTCTATAAATAAGATTTCGTGTTTAGATCCTTCCTTAACCAAGTCTGGATGTAACGTGCCATCCTCTCTGCTCCAGATTAACACTGGTGGAAATGCCGAGTGGATCCTGTGCTCTCTACGCCTCGAGCTTTAAGGCCTACACAGAAGACTGTTCAAACCCAAACACTTACATCTGCATGAAGACGGCAATGTAAAGAGTTCATGAACCATCTCCAACAAGAGAAGGGATTGTTCCAGGAGAAACTGGGACTGAAAAAGAAGAGACAAACATAACAGAACATAAAACAGCAGACCTGTGCCCTCCAGAAACAAATAATAGAATGATTAGATGTAGCCCATGGCATCTCAGTCTCCAAGTAGTTCCCTAGAAATGGGAACAGGACTGTCTCTGATATGAACTCAGTGGCTCCCTCTTTGATCACCACCTCCTGATTGGAGAGCAGCCTTTCCATGCCACAGAGGAAGACAATGCAGCCAGTCCTGATGAAACTGGATAAACTAGGGTCAGATGGAAGGGGAGGAGGACTTCCCCTATCAATGGACTAGGGGAGGGACATGGAGGGTTGGAAGGGGATGAGGGAGGGAGCTACAGCGGGGACACAAAGTGAATAAACTGTAATTTATAATTTTTTTTAAAAAGATGGATATTCTGTGTCCTGTTAAACAAGGGAAGCCAACTCAGATCACCATGGCTGCCTTTCACACCATTTTCCAATCTGCCTAGAATGTGGGGAAGGAGGCAAGGAAGAGCCTAGATTTCAAGATGGAACCAATTCACAGAGGAGCTGTAAGAGTGGGAGACTGCAGCCCCACAGCACACTGGGAGTTTAAGCTCCAGCACTGTAGAAAACTGCTTGCTGGGTGGGGCCCCAGCAGGGAACCACAGGGCAGTCAGCACTGTGCCCAGCTGAGTTGCCAATCCGGTGGTTCAGGAAAGCAGGCTGCTGTCTGAGAGGGTCAACAGGAACTGTCTGAGTAAGGCCAAGCAGGATTGCTTTTTGAAATTGACTAACTCATCAGGCTCACCTTATTGATTCTTGTGCCTTTTTGGGACTCTCCCAGTCTTTTTTATGTTTTCCAGTTGAGATGGTGGTATCTCTTAACGGTCAGTCCCACCATTGTGTTTTGGAAGTACGTGGCATGCTTCCCATTACAAGTTACAAACAAACAAACAAAAAAAGAGTTTTGATTATCTCATCCATATCTGACTTTGGTCATGTTTAGGTGAGACCTTGGACTTGGAGTTTGAAAGGTGGTGTTGGAGGGAGTTGCCATCTCTGAGGTTTTTAGGGTGGAACGGATATGGTTTGCAATTGAGCAGACAGATTTCTAGGACCATGGGTGTAATGTCATATACTGAATGTTTGTGCACGCTATAATTTCATATTTGAAATTCTAACTCCCCGTATTATTTAAATACTAATTAAATTTGGAGACAGGCATAACTATTTTATTTCTTTTTTGTTTTTTTAAATGTGTTTATTTATTTATTCACTTTACAGTCGAACTAACATAGTAAAATTGACCATCTTACCAAAAGCAATCTACAGATTCAGTGCAATCCCTGTCAAAATTCCAACACAATTCTTTACAGACCTTGAATTATATTATTGCATTATTATATTATTATAAGATGAAAATCTAAATAGCATAGAGTCATTTCTTACACCTCCCAAAGTCTGATATTAAATGCGCAACATAGTGTCTTAAAAGTTGTAAGGGTGAAGTCTTTGTAGGTGAGATTGTGTCTTAAGAAAATATCCACAGAGACTTCTCTCTCTTCTTTTTGCTTCAAGAGAATACAGGATAATTCTGATATACCACCTACAAGATGCTTCCACCAAAACCCAACAGCTGTTGTTACCAACATCATGGCTTCCAAGGCTTCGTAATTGTGGGAAATGAATTTGTTGTTTACAGCTTGGTCGGTGATGTTTTATAATAGTACCCCAAAGAATCCGAGAACAGAAGGGAAGATAGCTAGATAGTAGATCTTACTGAAAATTTAAAAGGGAAGCTGGAGAGGTGGCTCAGAGGTTAATTAAAAGATTAAGCCCCAAGTTCAGTTCCCAGAACCTACATTGTAGCTCACGAGGGATCCAATGCCCTCGTCTGGCTTCTGCAGGCACTTGTATGCACACGACGTACATACATACATGAAGACAAGAACTCACACATTAAATAAAAACAAAGTTAACACAGAAAGCTTTGTGATATTGTTGTATAATACTTTAAAACACAGAAAATAATTACAAACCAATAAGCAAGCTTTAAAAAAATCTCTAGAAGCCAGGCATGGTGGCATTTGTATTTAATCCCACCACTAAGGGAGACAGGGGCAGGAGGATCTCTGTGAGTCCAAGGCCAGCCAAGACTACACAGGGAAATCCTGTCCTGGAAAACAAAAACAAAGACAAAAAAAATGGTATAATACCATATTAAATAAAACTGAATCACAATAGAAAACCAACGGTAGAACCTGGTTTTCATACGAGAGGTCATAACAAACCTGGGAGGTTTGTTTTGTAGGTGTTTGTAAAGCATTAGAAACACGATAGTCATCTCCTGAATGAGGGATTTCTCCAAAGGCTATATGCTTATACAAGGAATAACAAATAAAACCCAGGCTTCAGAAAGTAGTGTGGAAGGATCCTCGCTATCTTGACCTCTAATGAGATGGGGGTTGGGAGTGTCTGTGTGTGATGAAAACCTCCGTGAAGACTCTGTAGCCATGGAAAGTCCTTCCTTTAAGCTTACAGTCCAGTTTCTGGCTAACAGTATTGGCAGGAGAACCAAGCTGAAGAAGCCCAAGGTACATATCATCCTACCTGCAGCTCTTCATTTTCTACATCTAGTGTGCATCCACTGTATAAAGTTGGAAGCACCCAGCAACATTTTAGCTCTTAAGGAGAACAACTTGAACTCATTCCTTACATATTTTTCACACATAGCCCAAGAGTAAAACCAAATTGCAAAACAGCGATACTGAGAGGGGCAGTTAGTTAGCTCTCTGGCAGTGTTTCAGTATCCAGGAGACCTGGGTGAGGGGTAGTGCTCTGACTCATTGGATAACTAAAGAAAGTTAACCTTCTTGGACACTGAACTGCCATGGACTACACCTGTGCAGGGGTTCCAGGTCATCTCCACAAATAGTCCTTGGTTGGAGTAGGAGTCTCTGGGAAGTTCCCTGTGTTCAAATTATCTTGTTCTGTTGCTCTGCTTGTGGAGTTCCCGTTCCCTCCAGCTCTTACTATTTCCCACTTCTTACATAAAATTCCATTCACTCTGCCCATCAGTTGGCCATCAGGCTCAGCATCTGCTTTGACAGTCTATACTGCAGAAGCTAGAGGGACTGCCTCTGACATAATCTGATTGGCCTGCTCTTAGATCACTTCCCCCTGGGGGGGAGCAGCCTTACCAGGCCACAATAGAGGACAATGCAGCCACTTTTGATGAGAACTGATAGACTAAGATCAGAAAGAAGGAGAGGAGGACCTCCCCTATCAGTGGACTTGGGGAGTGGCATGCATGCAGAAAGGGGAGGGAGGGTGGGATTGGGAGGGGAGGAGGGAGGGGCTTATGGGGGGATACAAAATGAATAAAGTGTAATTAATAAAAAATAAATAAAAGATTAAAAAAAATATTGTAGTTCCAAAAAAAAAAAAAAAAAGAAAGTTAACCTTAAACTCACAAGAAAAAAAAAATGCGAGGCACGCCTGTGTTCCAGACATACAGGAAATTTCTATGTTCGATTTAAAAATGCAAAAAGCAACCAACAGGATCCCACTTGCTTCCAAGGACTCAATTTAGACAGCCACAGACGTAAAAGCCAGACTAAAATGCAAAATAGGCTGATACAATAGGTCATGATGGGGGAAATTTTTGCTCTGACAGCAGGGTGAGTAACCTTACCAGAACCAGGGTTTTAAAAAGAAACGTTTTTAATAGAGAAAACATGAGAAAAGGTGTAACATATTTAGATACACTTCATGGTGTGCTTAGCAAATGACTTGATATTTCTGTAGTACTCATCCCCAGGTTTATGCAGAGAGTGCTATATTTGATGCTAATTTTAAAATGTAAACAGATTCCACTGTGGTTAGGGGAAAGCCGACCTAACACTTTGTGGTTATATTTAAATAGACGAGAGCTCCAGATAAGTGACTCACAGGCGTGAAGGCAGATGCCACGAGAACAGTTTAAAACTTTACTCAATTTCCGATACTATGTGACAGAACCATCCTAAGATGCCAGGGGCCTCTTGCAAGCCCAGATCAAGAAAGCAAACATTCACTTGCCAATCTCTTTCTCTTGAGTTTCCATGGAAAAATTGAAAACGAGTAGTTGACCTATCACAGAGGTGCAAGGCCTGCCAGGGAAACTCTAGAGAGGACCTGGACTGAAGGCAAAAGCCCTAGATTCAGGAGTGCCTATGGACAGAGCTCAGCACCGGTCCTAGAAGATCACTCAGAGGTCAGCAGTGGCAAAGTCAGGAAGGGGCTTTATTGAAGCATGAACACACCAGCAAGAACAGAAGTGTAGTGACTGAACATCTTTCATCGTAGTGATTAGAACAGTAGGAACAAAGCCGGGTTTGGGGGTTCTACAACATCTGTTCTGGCAGTCTTGGTCTGGCTGTATTGATCTTACTTTGGGACATCATCTCAGAAACCTCCGAGTGGAGCTACGGTAAGAACAAAGAAGACATCTGCTGCTTAGCTTCCCTCCTACATCCTAAAATAGTCACCAGTCTGGCCTGATGTTTGCAAGATACAAAGTAATTGTGGGGAATAAAAGTCAAAGAGAGGCCAGGAGTGGCAGTGCCTGCCTTTAATTCCTGAACTAGGAAAACAGGAGCAAGTAGGTTTCCATGAGTTCAAGGCCATCCTGGTTAATATAGTGATTTCCAGACCAGCCAAGGTTACATAGTGAAACTCTGTTTCATAAAAACAAACAACACCCCAGGAGAGATCAGACCCAAGGAAAAGGAACAAGATGGTGTCCAAAAGAAAACCTGTTTGGCCAGTTAGGGCCTGAGAGCTCCAGTGTTTAATTTCCTGCTCTCATAATAGCTAAAGACATCTGCTTCTGGGAGCGAAGCAGGAAACCATCTTGTGCCCTGGACTCAGCAGTGATGTAAAGTAGAAGACCTCAGCTGGCAAACAGGAAGTTGCTTCACAAACGAGATCTCACTGATACCAGGCAGACACCACAGAGATGGGGACAGGGAGCCCATCCACCCAAGAAACAGGCTTCACCCACTAAGACAGATCTCCAGAGGAAAGCCTTGAAAATCAGATGGAGATGGGCCAGAAACAATTTCGACAGGGAACTTGGAAGCAAGGATTGATACGTTAAAGGCCGAAGCAGCAAAGGTAGCAGTCAGCGAGACTGTGGAAGACAATGCAGTGGATATGTGGGATGTATAAGTAACCAAGTAGTTTTCCAAAGTAAGGGGAACACGGACTATTTCTAACAGGATCTCAAGGGCAGGCTGTTTGACCCCCCCCCCCCAGGGGAGGAGCAGTCTGTTAGGCCACAGAGGAGGACTTTGCAGCCAGCCCTGAAGATACTTGATAA